GTTCGAAACGTAATTCGTCAATTTCGAGGAAACTTATTGTAGGAGACCCGTCAGATCGATAACTGTAACTCCTCACTATGGGCCTTGCGTGGCGTTGTAGCGGATGCGAGAGACGGAGACAAGGATAGTGAATTAGATTTGTTGGTATACGTCATCGTAGCCTGCGCGAGCTTCTGATTGTCCCATTTCAAGCGCATCCATTGATCAGATTATTGGAAAAGCAACGGCGAGCTTTAGAAGTCATGCCTTCGGCGCTCGGACAAGTTCTTTTCGTACTTAACAAGTAGTTTTAGCGAAGTTTTAACACAACGGATGTTTTGGCTCTTGTTCGTTCGTTCGCTCGGTGATCGATTGATTCAACAAACGAAGATGGAAAAAATTTGTAACCTCTGAGATGTTGGTCTCCCTTACACGTCGATGACTGAATCGATTTGTAGTACTCTTGTCTCATGAAGAAAACCTATTATTCAGTCGGTAGAGCATCAAACTCGCATTCGAAACGGTCTGCGTTTTTAGAGCCCCGGTCAAGTCACTCGTCTTTCTGAGGTAGACAACTGAGTAACACTTCGTTAGAAAGTAACACGCTATAATGATCGCCTCGCTGCAGATATAACCTCAAACGACAACAACGGGTAGAAGCCGAGATTAGCGCCGCAGCATAAACACCATGAAAGAAGGGTTTTAAAAATGGCCTGTAATGCCAAAATCGTTACAAAAAAATTTACGGGAATGAAAGTGAATTACGCACGATTTGAAACGGGATCACGTCAAATTAAATCTGCAAGCTCAATAATGCCTTTGAAGAACTTGGTGATGAATAACTTTGCACCAGCATAAAGCAGTTATGCAAGTAGTTCATTCCGGTATGAATTTTTGGTTAAAATTTACGAAAGTTACGTTGCTGTCAGACTTAGAACTGAGGAAATGAGGGACCAAGTGATAACTAAATAATTTTCAAGACATTTTTACCTTGGGGTATTATCAACGAAAAGTACCTAAAACAGCTAAGAATTCTGGTTTATCACACAGCAACAGAGTTCAACGCTGTACCAGAAGTTTCATGATCAAAGGGAGCCGACAAGCGGACCCCAACCACGGAAGTGAAAATCGAAACTCGGTTGTACGTATTTCTCAACACTGCTGTTTCTTCTGTAAAAAACAAAACATTACGGAGATTGTAAATGAGAGGCAACTAGGAGCAAGAAGACGATGCACAACGTCGTGAGTTCTGGTAGTGGAGGAGTTCTACTCGGTTTGACATATTCCGGCGCACGAACATATTTTTATGTTTATGTGGTAGCATTTAAGGATTGCCAACTCCCGAAACATCGTTCGTAATGAGCGTGAAGTGACTTTGGCAGAGACGAGATGAGATGCATTTAGCAGTACAGATGCTCAAGTACCACGGGGCCTTAGTATTTAAATGACCACCTCCACCCGCCCCCTCCCCGACAGTTAGGAAGGATCAAAAGGGCGGTTCCATACGCCAAGAAATATGGTTATCGAGGAGTTATGCGCTATTTTACACACGACTGCGCGTTTGAACAGACCTTGATGCTTAGACGAATTGCACACAGCAACCGTAGGTGAATGTACGATGGTGAGCTGTGCTGTGCGCGTGAAGAAGTAAGCGAAATCACTTACCGTCGTCAGTTCGTCTCCATCGACAGTCCTGATCATATCCGAATCCTTGTCACCCTCCTTGATCGCCTTTTGCTTTTGGATCAGTTGGCCGTCCTCCAGCGTGCACAGCATCTAGCAAGCGAAGCAGATCGCAGGATGAGGTGACAGCGGCGGAACTCTCGTCCGTGCACTCACCTTCACCTTGCGGCCGTCGAGGGTCGTCGTCTCCATCTCCTTGCCAAGCTGAAACACTGCGGTCTCGCTCTTGAACGTGCTCAGAGTTTTTACTGTCCACTCGTTGCCGTTGATCGAGATCTCGATTGTCGGCGACAGCACGCCGGCGATTTTGCGCGTCGCGAAGTCCACCCCTGAAGAACGCGTAAAACTGCACATGCTGCCTCAACCAACCGTCACCGTTCGTAAACACGCCGGCACCGGCACTCGTCGCCTACCGAGTTTTTTCATGTACTCATCGAAGTTCTCCGACGATACCAACTTGTATTTTCCAACAAACTTTTCGGCCATCCCTCTGTCGTCCGTGGTGCAAAGCGAGCGAAACCTACGATAAAGCCGGTGCTAGTAGTTAGCAGCGCAAAACTAGCTGTCTGATCGGTCAAGAGTATCGAAATCGCGCTGCGCTGGCAAATCGCGCTGAGGGCCGGAACTCGATTGCATAATGAGTGCATAACTCATTATGCAATCGAGTTCCGGCCCCGCCATCTCACCCTCACTCCTCGCCGCGACCTCATTCTTTAGCCCCTCTCAAACGCCACACGTCGACGTGCCTACGGCTGCTCTGCGCATCTACCAGCCTCTGACCAGC